TTTACTGTGTGGCATACTCGCTGTGTTAACTAGACAGTAGTCCACATCATCAACAGCGATCAGATGACTCACAATCAGATTGTGGAATCGAATCTCGGACTCAAACCAGAATCTGTACTTTATAGGAAAGTGTAATACCAAGTAAACCATATGAAAAACGAGTAGTAAGTTTGTAAATGCCTAGAATTATGGCTCTTTGTAGACAACTGGTTTTGCCTCAGGCAACAACATTCTTCTCAAGTCAAAGTCTGTCAATACCAAATGACATTGATGAGACTCTGGAGATTCGAGAAGCAGCACCAGTAGCAGACCCAGCTCCACAGAAACGGCAATACGATCTACTGATGAAGAAGAATAATTCTACCCAGACAGCATAAGATAATGATATATAATAGAACAGTATAAAACTACATAAAATGTTTGATTCGCTGTTCCCACGTCGTTTTGTCGTCACGGCCGACTCGTCAAACATTCACGCCAGTGGTATCTGCTGTAGGGGTATGCACAATGAACAATGGGGCAGATCCCAGATCGCATCGTTGTTTCAAAACAGCTTTAAAATTAGGTTAATGTATGCCGTATTTGAAGAAGGAGGGCTGATACTGTTTGCACGCATGACTGCCCATCTACAGTTTGGATCCATCTAAGAAAGCAGTGCCTATCCATTTCATCTGTTTATCCGAATGTTTTACTGAAGTGGGTCACATTTAAAAAACACACCAAAACACACCAAGACACACACACACCAAAACACACACACACACACACACACACACACACACACACACACACACACACACACACACACACACACACACCGCCACCCCACCCCGGAGACAGGTCACAGCAAAACTTCCTGCTCGGGTTATATGTGTAATGTACACTGCTTGTCTAGGTTAGGCTGACCCACACACTAACAATAAAACACTTCTCGTAAAACATTACGTAATGATTTGTTGGAGAGGACCGTATTGTCTGAAATATATGTCTGTATACATGTATATTATATACATTGTTTATGTACACAGAGCCAATATAAAGCGCCAGTTATATAAACATTGTGATGAAACTGTGAGTCTGCCATACAAAACACAATTATAGCTTCAGTACAAACAACCGTAATCTACGTTCAAATCTTTGAAGGGCTTTCAGAAGTGGAATGCATAAGAAAAGCATGATTTATGGATGTCAACTTCTTTATTGTGAATAACCCGACGTTTCGGGGTGTTTGCTTGCCCCTTTATCAGGTGAATGGTAGAGAGTATATGGGGAATATATATACATTGTAGCACTACAAAGAAAACATTTGTAATACAAACATGAGACCAGTGATACACTAAAACAACATGGTAATAGATGTGATAAGATATAGAATACAAACCCCAGGAGGCCAGTGATACAGTGATACAGTACAAACATGAGGACGGAACGCCAATGGATATGCAATCTATAAGTAATGTACGTTTATAACGTAGCTGTTTAATCCCGGCCTCGTCCTGCATGTTTCAGTTGAAATGTGTATTACGAAGTACGTTTATGACGAACTTAAATTAGTGGTGCCTTCGAGTTGGTTATACCCGTAATGTACAAAAGTTCCGTTACGCAAGCGATTAGCTTTGAGACTGGACATAGCCATTCCAACTGAACTTTGTATGCGTCATAACATAGTCATTAAATACTTTAAGTGTTAAGTGACTGTTACACATCGCTAGATATCGGTGACATTGTACGAGATGTATTGTGTTTTCAAAGTGTTTTGCACTTCGAGATAGGCAACACAGTAGTGCATATAAAACATGTTGTTTGTAGTTTGGGTGTTGGATACACATTACTTATAGGCGACCGCCACACAAACATAACCGGTGACACACAAAGCCGAATGTCACAACAGTGTTATGGAAATGAAATACTAACTGCACAAACAGGCAAATAAGTCATATGTTAACATAGACAGTGGAACGTGAGGGAGCGCCATTGTTTCGTGACAAAACTTTCTGGTCTGGGAACGCGATATTTTTCTGTGACACAACAGGAGCTCCCATTGTGACGTCATGAGCATGCATGAGTGGGTGGACAATGGCGCTTTACAAATATCCACTATTATTATTATTATTATTATTATTATTGTGATCAACGGCGTCGTGTTATTTGAATCTGATTAGCTCTCGTTAATCCGACAATTACGTTTGCAGAGAAATATGTCGGATTACCGAGAATGTCGGATTAATGTATTTGTGTGAAAATATCAATGTTTACTAAATGTCATGATAGCCATACTGTTGCATGCATATCAGAAATTGTAGATCTGGTTATCGTCTGAATCTGATACCAAGTACATGTATCATAATGAAACAACGACGTCAATGCCCTGGGCAATCTGAATCTGATACCAAATACATGTATCACAATGAAACACGACGTCATTGCCCTGGACAATATGAGTCTGATACCAAATACATGTATCATAATGAAACAACGACGTCAATGCCCTGGGCAATCTGAATCTGATACCAAATACATGTATCACAATGAAACACGACGTCATTGCCCTGGGCAATGGAGGATGTCCTGTCATCCAAATACGATTAATGGCTCCCATGACTAATTATAACTATATTTTCACATATCATTCTCCATAGTGATTAGAATGTGTCATGGAAGAGTTAGCGCACCCGTCTGATAATTGCAACCAACTGCATGAAATGATGGTACTACAGGGAGCGTTGATATGTGATGTGTGGCCAAGACTTTCCCAACTTAGCAATGCCTCTAAAGGCGCGCTTGAAGCTTGAGCAGTATAATGGAAGATATGCCCTCGGTATTCCAGACCCGTGAAGATCCGGGTTAGAATTGGTCTTCAGCAACCCATGCTTGTCGTATATATTCGACTAACGGGATCGGGTGGTCAGGCTCGCTTACTTGGTTGACACATGTCATCGTATCCTAATTGTGCAGATCGATGCGCATGCTGTTGATCACTGGATTATCTGGTCCAGACTTGACTATTTACAGACCGCCGCCATAAAGCTGCAATACTGCTGAGCGCGGCGTTAAACAACCAACCAAACAGTCAATCTGTATTCCAAATAATCTTTCCATTCTACATCATCGAATGCTTGGATTTTACCGGCTACCATTTTCTACTTTTTAGTCTATTCTTTCTCGATAAAGGGGTGAAACTGAACTGAATATCTTGTAACTTGTGTGAGCCGACAGTATCGCCTGACCTGGTACTAGTGGCTTGTGAACCGACAGTATCGCCTGACCTGGTACTAGTGGCTTGTGAACCGACAGTATCTCCTGACCTGGTACTAGTGGCTTGTGAACCGACAGTATCGCCTGACCTGGTACTAGTGGCTTGTGAACCGACAGTATCGTCTGACCTGGTACTAGTGGCTTGTGAACCGACAGTATCGCCTGACCTGGTACTAGTGGCTTGTGAACCGACAGTATCGCCTGACCTGGTACTAGTGGCTTGTGAACCGACAGTATCGCCTGACCTGGTACTAGTGGCTTGTGAACCGACAGTATCGCCTGACCTGGTACTAGTGGCTTGTGAACCGACAGTATCGCCTGACCTGGTACTAGTGGCAGGTAACCGACAGTATCGCCTGACCTGGTACTGACCTGGTACTAGTGGCTTGTGAACCGACAGTATCGCCTGACCTGGTACTAGTGGCTTGTGAACCGACAGTATCGCCTGACCTGGTACTAGTGGCTTGTGAACCGACAGTATCGCCTGACCTGGTACTAGTGGCGTGTGAGCCGACAGTATCGCCTGACCTGGTACTAGTGGCTTGTGAACCGACAGTATCGCCTGACCTGGTACTAGTGGCTTGTGAACCGACAGTATCGCCTGACCTGGTACTAGTGGCTTCGTGAGCTGGTACTAGACAGTATCGCCTGACCTGGTACTAGTGGCTTGTGAGCCGACAGTATCGCCTGACCTGGTACTAGTGGCTTGTGAACCGACAGTATCGCCTGACCTGGTACTAGTGGCTTGTGAGCCGACAGTATCGCCTGACCTGGTACTAGTGGCTTGTGAGCCGACAGTATCGCCTGACCTGGTACTAGTGGCTTGTGAACCGACAGTATCGCCTGACCTGGTACTAGTGGCTTGTGAGCCGACAATATCGCCTGACCTGGTACTAGTGGCTTGTGGAATTAAGTAACGGTAATTGAAAATATTAGTTGATCCCAGAACATGCATGACTACCTTCAATATGTACTGATTGTAGAGCAACACTTATATTCGCCGTTGTAAGAGAAAACATCCTTTGTTTGTATTCCTATAATCAATAGACCATCAGACTGTGTTGACTGATACGGCCAGTCAGGGAGGTGGTTGTTCTACGAAGTCTGTCTTGTTGACCGGGGAACAGGTATGACCACAGTGGAGTTCCAGTAATTGGACATTCTGACGGTCGCTATTGATGTGACGGTAATGGCCAACTGGAACCCTGGTATCATTAATCATAAGCCTAATAGGTTATACAATAGAGCCTATTACCAGGAATTGAACGCCACTGAATCCAGATGGCGAATGGAGGCCCCAGGCTCTAAGACATCTTGCGTAATAACCATAACTGCCCGGTTACGTAATAGTAGCATCTGAATAATGGCACGTAGAGCATCCGATTTGAGGTCTAACAGAGACAGTGTACCATAGAGACGGAATCATTTGACGTGGAACTGATTAAACAGAATGCTGGCATCTTGAGTCTGTCGTAAATGGGTCAATTCATTCCTTGTAGTAGATCCAGTATTACTGATTACATTGGGCCAATACATTAGCCATGCATCGTAACTATGCATTGAATATTCAAGTCCATACGTCTTGCTAAGGACAATGACTTGGTTACCGCTTCAGGAAGAGAGGCGAGCAGCCCGCTCCACACTGGAATGGTTGGCGGTACAGCAACTGGAATATTGATTATGGTAATAGGGCCATGCCATGGGATAAACCATTGACAACGGCGAAGTGGCAAGAGGCGGGAGAGACGTGTAGGAATTGCAGTCGTCTTGACAGCCGGGTAGCCGGGTGGCTAGTTAACCCCAAACAGTAAGTCGGTATCAGAAGGAGGGTGTTCCTTTCACCTGCCTAGACCCAAGACTTACCAGGAGGAGGGTCAGAGGGTCTCGGGGAGATATCCAGCCTTGTATCTCCAGGATGTAAATAGATGGTGCGCCACAGCCGCCGGAAATAGTCTTGAAGACCTACGTGACACCCATTTTTCGTCATGCACCTGCAGTACGAGCTCCTTGTGCCCCTCATTGTCCTCGTTCTACAGATAGGCCGACAGGTGGCTGCCGATTTACAAGGTAAGTGCCTGGAGGAGAGGGTCGATATTTGTGTTCAGTAATGAGGATTTTGGCTACTCGTTAAAGTCAGTGGATAAATTCTTACGTTTTCCTCTTGGTGAGACCTATTTCATGACTGTGTTCACGACACGTTGGCAGATGATAATGATGATGATGATGATGATGATGATGATGATGGTACTAGCACTATGCACTCAATGACTTATGGACTTGTACATTAGTTGTCTTTAGGGAAATAGTTCTGTTTGATGTGTTGTTTGATGTGTTGTCACTCCACAGAGTGAAATATCGCATGCGCAGATGTTCCAGTTCAGTTCCAGAATTGAAATCATTAATTTAATGTGATCGCACTCGAGTTGGAAGAGCGTAATTAGAATGTTTAAGGTCGTCAATGTCTCTTCTTATTTGCATGAATGCGTGAAGATTCACGTGTATATCGACCTGGCGCATATGTTTCTGATGTAAAAATTGATATACACTTACGTTACGTATACACGCACACACATTTCTGTGTGCGCGTGTGTGTATGTGTGTGTTTGTACATGTATGTAAAATATATGTATGCATATGTCTGCGGGTACATATCTATAACTATTAATAGACGTGATTATGTATGTCTGTCTGTCTGTCCGTCCGTCCGTCCGTCCTTCCGTCTGTCTGTGTTTATGGCTTTGGCACACTTAAATCACACACAGGGTATAATCGCTGAAGTGTGACCGTGTGTTGGAGATTATACCTACATATAACACGCCGTTACTTGTACCACGTTCTCGTGCGAAATTCTGTTTAGATGACATATAATAATGACATATTGCATTAGATGTCATAATCCATTTATATGTCATATATCAATTATACTCATGCCAATAATGGTTGTCACCCCCTCCCCACCCCAACCCCCACACACCTCAGACCCCACCCCACACCCTCCAATTAAAAAAAATGAAGGGGCTGACAACCATTATTGGCATGAGAATATTTATTCTGCTAGATATCGGGTATATAACGACGGATATTGTAACACAGTCATGCCATGTGACACACACTGTAACATCGGTGCTGAATAGGGATCTATTGTTTGTGACATATCCAATGCCTGTAGGTATAGATGCAGCAGTAACAGCTAACATAACCATCACATATTGTGCCTTGTAACTGATGATGTCAGCCGATGGCGTGCATGTGTCTGTACATCAAGGTGTTCTGTACAGCATACATATATACAGGTATCGTGTTTGCTCACACGGGAAGGAGCTGACTAGTGTCAGTTTATACGTTGTGTACACAACACGTATTTGTTTCCGTGGCGCTGTTGTGCGAGGCAATTGTCAGATCAATATTTATAACTGGAGATGACGCTTTAAGACGCACGTGTGTCTTAGCCTGGATGGGGATCGATCTTCAGCACACAGAGTGTATCGGTTCTTGTCAGGATGCGTGTCGACTCCTCGTTCATCCTGAGGACTGTGCGGCCTTGTGTTGACAGGTCATCATGACCTACACAGCAAATATTGGACAGCACACGTCAGCTGTTTCCACGGGCGCAGACAGATAACCAGGATGTTGTACAACAGGGCAGAATTGTAAAAAGGTGCATACCTAACAATCAGTGTACCTAGTTGACTCTTTAATTCAACGTGTATAGTGTGTAAACTGTACGTGAACACACTGTTGGGCAACAGTACCCATGTTCCGCCTTCACCGACCATGAGATGGCTGATGTATGCCATGTAGCAGATGTTCGATGCCCACTGTATAGACCGATGGTTTATATGATCCACGTCGAACTGCATGTCTGGCATCTGGATACGACCAGAATATAATGATTTGGACAAAGTTTATTAAAACATCTAATTCTTCATTTTCATCAAAGGTACATGTTAAAAAGTTGCAATCTGGTGTCATAGAGCTGAGGTATATATTTGGCTACGGACTGACAATTGTTGTGGAGATATAACTATTGATATATCTGACTGAAGGTTGTGGCGATATAACTATTGATATATCTGACTATGACGTAAGTCACAGATGTGTGTGACCTATCATTCAGTTGTGACTTGAGACACAGATTCGTGAAACGTGCCATTCGAGTAACCGGCGTCTGTGGCAAGGACAAAGACTAATATTTCCACATTTCCCCAGGCTACGAAACCGTGGAGGTGGCAGTGAGAAAGCCCTTGTTTTGCTACGACTGCTACGAGATGGAAAAGAACTGCCAGACTCTGGCCAATCTGACCGCCATCAAGGTGACCAAGTGCAGGGACTACGAACGATTTTGTAAGGTGAGTGCTCGTTTATACAGAAACCTGGACTGATGACGTGGTTCTGTAAGGTGAGTGCTCCTATATACAGCAACCTGGACTGATGACGTGGTTCTGTAAGGTGAGTGCTCCTATATACAGCAACCTGGACTGATGACGTGGTTCTGTAAGGTGAGTGCTCCTATATACAGCAACCTGGACTGATGACGTGGTTCTGTAAGATGAGTGCTCCTATATACAGCAACCTGGACTGATGACGTGGTTCTGTAAGGTGAGTGCTCCTATATACAGCAACCTGGACTGATGACGTGGTTCTGTAAGGTGAGTGCTCCTATATACAGCAACCTGGACTGATGACGTGGTTCTGTAAGGTGAGTGCTCCTATATACAGCAACCTGGACTGATGACGTGGTTCTGTAAGGTGAGTGCTCCTATATACAGCAACCTGGACTGATGACGTGGTTCTGTAAGGTGAGTGCTCCTATATACAGCAACCTACTGATGACGTGGTTCTGTAAGGTGAGTGCTCGTATATACAGCAACCTGGACTGATGACGTGGTTCTGTAAGGTGAGTGCTCCTATATACAGCAACCTGGACTGATGACGTGGTTCTGTAAGGTGAGTGCTCGTATATACAGCAACCTGGACTGATGACGTGGTTCTGTAAGGTGAGTGCTCCTATATACAGCAACCTGGACTGATGACGTGGTTCTGTAAGGTGAGTGCTCCTATATACAGCAACCTGGACTGATGACGTGGTTCTGTAAGGTGAGTGCTCCTATATACAGCAACCTGGACTGATGACGTGGTTCTGTAAGGTGAGTGCTCCTATATACAGCAACCTGGACTGATGACGTGGTTCTGTAAGGTGAGTGCTCCTATATACAGCAACCTGGACTGATGACGTGGTTCTGTAAGGTGAGTGCTCCTATATACAGCAACCTGGACTGATGACGTGGTTCTGTAAGGTGAGTGCTCGTATATACAGCAACCTGGACTGATGACGTGGTTCTGTAAGGTGAGTGCTCCTATATACAGCAACCTGGACTGATGACGTGGTTCTGTAAGGTGAGTGCTCCTATATACAGCAACCTGGACTGATGACGTGGTTCTGTAAGGTGAGTGCTCCTATATACAGCAACCTGGACTGATGACGTGGTTCTGTAAGGTGAGTGCTCCTATATACAGCAACCTGGACTGATGACGTGGTTCTGTAAGGTGAGTGCTCCTATATACAGCAACTTTGACTGATGACGTGGTTCTGTAAGGTGAGTGCTCCTATATACAGCAACCTGGACTGATGACGTGGTTCTGTAAGGTGGGTGCTCCTATATACAGCAACCTGGACTGATGACGTGGTTCTGTAAGGTGAGTGCTCGTATATACAGCAACCTGGACTGATGACGTGGTTCTGTAAGGTGAGTGCTCCTATATACAGCAACCTGGACTGATGACGTGGTTCTGTAAGATGAGTGCTCCTATATACAGCAACCTGGACTGATGACGTGGTTCTGTAAGGTGGGTGCTCCTATATACAGCAACCTGGACTGATGACGTGGTTCTGTAAGGTGGGTGCTCCTATATACAGCAACCTGGACTGATGACGTGGTTCTGTAAGGTGAGTGCTCCTATATACAGCAACCTGGACTGATGACGTGGTTCTGTAAGGTGGGTGCTCCTATATACAGCAACCTGGACTGATGACGTGGTTCTGTAAGGTGAGTGCTCCTATATACAGCAACCTTGACTGATGACGTGGTTCTGTAAGGTGAGTGCTCCTATATACAGCAACCTTGACTGATGACGTGGTTCTGTAAGGTGGGTGCTCGTATATACAGCAACCTGGACTGATGACGTGGTTCTGTAAGGTGAGTGCTCCTACATACAGCAACCTGGAATGATGACGTGGTTCTGTAAGATGAGTGCTCCTATATACAGCAACCTGGACTGATGACGTGGTTCTGTAAGGTGAGTGCTCGTATATACAGCAACCTTGATTGATGAGTAGGTTCTGTAAGGTGGGTGCTCCTATATACAGAAACCTGGACTGATGACGTGGTTCTGTAAGATGGGTGCTCGTATATACAGCAACCTGGACTGATGACGTGGTTCTGTAAGGTGAGTGCTCGTATATACAGCAGCCTGGACTGATGACGTGGTTCTGTAAGGTGAGTGCTCCTATATACAGCAACTTTGACTGATGACGTGGTTCTGTAAGGTGAGTGCTCGTATATACAGCAACCTGGACTGATGACGTGGTTCTGTAAGGTGAGTGCTCCTATATACAGCAACCTGGACTGATGACGTGGTTCTGTAAGGTGAGTGCTCCTATATACAGCAACCTGGACTGACGAGGTGGTTCTGTAAGGTGAGTGCTCCTATATACAGCAACTTGGACTGATGACGTGGTTCTGTAAGGTGAGTGCTCCTATATACAGCAACCTGGACTGACGAGGTGGTTCTGCAAGATGAGTGCTCGTATATACAGCAACCTTGACTGATGACGTGGTCGGTTATATTTGGAATGTGTACATCTTCGGATTCTTACTGATTTATCAAAATGATAGAAACTAGGCATTTACTTGTAGTCAGATCTAAAAATCATCAACATATTACTGTATTCACATCATTCACCTAGTCGACATTGTGTTGTTTTGTTGATGTCAAATATTTGCCACTATATTCGTAATTTGCTGTCGGTGAATGATCTCCGCTTCAGATATGGTCTGATGTTGTTGGTGTGTGACTCCGCTTTGAACAGTGTTTCGGCATTGTCAGGTCGGAAGTGTGGGAGAAAAAAGTATATATGTTTCCGACCAACCAGCGTGAATGTGTGTATCAAACAGCGGATGTACTCCCAGGCTCCTCCGTACCCCTGTCGATATGTTTCAGGTTCGCCGTATCAACAACCGTAAGTCTCAGACAGTGTTCGAGCGCACCTGCAGTCCTGACTGCACACCCGGATGTACCACCATGTTGTTCCGGACTCGGTGCGTCTCCTGCTGCACAACAGACAAGTGTAACAGCGACAACACAGCACAACGCCATTACGTCACGTGGCACGGGACACTCACAGCTGCGTTAATTGTTTTAATGACAACTGTCATGTGATCTGGCTGTAGATAGACTGGATCTGACTGTTTCTGAAAATCTAATGGGATTGTTATTTTCGTTAAATATTTGTTTCCTTGAACAAAATCATGCATATACCAAAAATCTGAAATTGTTGAAAAACATTTCATTGTGATCAAACCGTATATTTACAATCATAATACGCTTCAGAATAGGAACAAAAAAAACAGGTCCAGTCTGATATACAGACACACGAAACAAACACACACACACACACACACAAAACAACACACACACACACACATTATATATCATACCCACTAGAGTTGCAAGGAAATACGGTTTGGGTTGTAGAGGTCCTATAAAAACTGTTTGTTTTGAAGGTGGTGTGCCTTTTCAGTATTTTGTGAGCTGCACGTGACTGAACATTCACATTGAGAGCCTCTCTTTAAGTGTGTTATTTTATTGCACGACTGCCGACAAGGGGTTGTGATGCAGGTAGTGAATGTATGTGTCTTGTTTCAGGCACCTGCACAGCATCCATGAAATACACTGTCGTGTCATATCATATACACTTTCAGCAACATTCGATATACAGTATCACCGACATGGAACAAATTATATACATTGTCACATATTATAAACACTTCATCTCAACATGAACACACATCAGTATGTGAGACACCTTACAGGAGCTATCTACAGGCAAAACGAGTTTACCTCCCTTGAATTCTACACATAGCCAGCCATGCCATATATACTACCACATGACCCCCTTCCACAAATCGATTGAAGCACGACGATGGTCGTAAGTCTATGTTAAAGCATTGGAGTCACGATCACCGTAGCGCTGAAATAGGTTTATGGAACGGGGCCCAGTCCTTGTTATCTCATAGACATCATAGCATCAGCATTATATCACCCTATTGATATTTCCAGTTGATTGTATTTAGTTGTAAAAGTATAATAATTATAATAATAATAATAATATATATACCTTTAAATCCTAACTATAAACTGCACAGCTGAAATCCGGGTGTGTTGGGTCTAGATCGCGAGGGTGCTTTAGGAATAGCACCACACTTTCCTGCAGGAATCAGGGCATGTGCAGGCTGCCAAATTTAAAAATACACCAGAGAATTATAATACGTAACAAGAAATATGTGACAATTACAAGAAACTTTAACTTCTTTGATTGGCATTCTAGAAGTTGGGTAGATGAAGAATGAGGACTATTTTTTATGGATATACAACTTCTTTATTCTATATAGGCGACGTTTCGACATAGAATCTAAGGTGAGTGCTCGATTATAGAATATAGAATAAAGAAGTTGTATATCCTTAAAAATAGTCCTCATTCTTCAAGAAACTTTAAGTTGTTTGTACGAAACATAAACTCATCTGGGGCTTCTAAGATCGGACCATACCTAACGTCGGGGAGTTCAACGTGATGGCCATCATTGACATGCTAGTCTCATTACACCCAGCTCACTAGAGTATCAGCCTTTTTGTGAGTACACCGTGAAATGCAGAAGACGCACAATACATGATGTAGATTATGATGTTTATTGCATGTCCATGAATAATCACCACCATGTCCTTGTTCCACATGCTTCATTCTGCCTGCAGTCTGACACAGGCTACTGACAAAGTGAACGTTTCCGCTGTGGTTCCGCTACATGTTGGCCTACGACTGGTTAACTGTGGTTAAACTGTGGTCAACACTGACACGCCAGTCGCAGGGACCGGGGCAGTGGACACGAGCCTTGGCGACAAACCAACCCCACTCTTTTATGAAATGGAGGCGCATACCTACAACTCAATTGTTAAAATGACCTTAAGTATCATTTATTGCAAAAATTCGTTCAGAAATATGTTTGTAAATTGCTAAAGCTGCACTTTTGATGAAACGGCTACGGTAACGTCAACGTCAGGAACGAGGTTGATGTCAGCAACCCTCTGCCTCCCCTCGCAGTGTTGTTGGCAATTCATGTTTGTGGATGCTTATCAGATGGCGTCGAATGAACTTAAAATTATTTAATCATATTCACCTTTTTTTATAATTGATTCTCTTTGTCTCTTAGGATTTGCCATCGTTTCTCTAAATAGTTATCATATCATATCTTCTACTTCTATAATAATACATTTGTGCCTACAATATATATATCATAGTTCACTCACGTGTCCCATGTTCTTGAATAGCGGTAATACAGTAGATTCACATTAGTTGTCATGACCCTCTATGCAAATTGTGACAAACTTTAATAAATAGATGTACAATATGCTTTCTTGTATTTCTGTCTGTACGTATATTCATCGATTTTCGAGAAAGGATTGTAAATACAGACATATGATGTTAGTTCTGAATATTGTGTGATATCCTTGACTGGATAAATGAGGTGACTGCTATTCCATCTGTAAAGTGATTACCTCGTTCGTTTCATACGCGTAATACCTCCACGGATCGAACACACTGCTTGGTCACGTGGTGGAGTGTGCTGCCAAGGGATTAGATGATATCCATACGTTTCTATAACGTGGTGAGTCGTTGGATTTCCAGCGGACAACATCAAACGTATAAAAAAACAAATTCGAGCAGTGTATGAAAATTATATATTTCACAACACACAACATGGATAGGTAATAAAGTACGGGACTTGTTGTGACAGAGGTGCATCAGTCGCCACCACTGAGATTACCAGGCGAGCGTTAGAGGGACGTCGTCGGATGTTCTGTACCCAGAATGCTGCGCATGTACTGCTCCAGGTGAGAGGGCGGCAAACACTGAAGGTGCCTCAGAACAGGTCATTTGATATGTGGAACGAGCAGGTTTAGTGAAGTGTGACTCCTCGGGATTCTGGCATATCTGTTGGCCAAGCACAACGGAGCATTAGAAGACAGACACTGATCTAGAACATCTAGCACTCAGATGAAGTGCCCATGGAAGGGGAGATTCTGTCTCCGCGCTCTCCATCTCTCACGCCGGGTCCGGAACTGAGACAGTGTCTGCTCAAAGTCGTAGAAGGCCAGGTTGTCCAACAGCTCGTACACCCCCACTCGTGCAGCCACCTAGCAGAGGAAACATAAGTTTAATATCATTGTGACAACAAACAACTGGCAGTGGGTTGTCTCAAACAATATTTACAAACGATACATCACACAAGACACAGACACCGCAACGTATATGAGATCAGTAAGCCATCTTGGTGACGAGGGAACACTCAATGTACAAGTTCAATGAAACATCCACTGACTGAAGGTGTATCTGCCTGACACATCCACTGACTGAAGGTGTATCTGCCTGACACATCCACTGACTGAAGGTGTATCTACCTGTCACATCCACTGACTGAAGGTGTATCTACCTCACACATCCACTGACTGAAGGTGTATCTACCTGACACATCCACTGAACTGAAGGTGTATCTACCTGACACATCCACTGACTGAAGGTGTCCACTTAAGGTGTAACTACCTGACACATCCACTGACTGAAGGTGTATCTACCTGACACATCCACTGACTGAAGGTGTATCTGCCTGACACATCCACTGACTGAAGGTGTATCTGCCTGACACATCCACTGACTGAAGGTGTATCTACCTGTCACATCCACTGACTGAAGGTGTATCTACCTCACACATCCACTGACTGAAGGTGTATCTACCTGACACATCCACTAACTGAAGGTGTATCTACCTGACACATCCACTGACTGAAGGTGTTTATAACTGACACATCCACTGACTGAAGGTGTATCTACCTGACACATCCACTGACTGAAGGTGTATCTACCTGACACATCCACTGACTGAAGGTGTATCTACCTCACACATCCACTGACTGAAGGTGTATCTACCTGACACATCCACTAACTGAAGGGGTATCTACCTGACAAATCCACTGACTGAAGGTGTATCTACCTCACACATCCACTGACTGAAGGTGTATCTACCTGACACATCCACTGACCGAAGGTGTATCTACCTTACACATCCACTAACTGAAAGGGTGTATCTACCCCACTGACAGGTGTATCTACCTGACACATCCACTGACGAAGGTGTATCTACCCGACAATTCCACTAACTGAAGGTGTATCTACCTCACACATCCACTGGCTGAATGTCGTGTCCCAGTTTGAGTCCCCCTGGTGATGGAGGTAGGCGTTGTAGAGAATCAGTAGCAGGTATCTCTCCAGGTGTTCCACGCTAAGTCGTTGGACGCTCTGTCTCTGACTCTCGGTCCGGGCACTCTTGATCTGCCAGGACAGCAATCAACACGTCACCATGACGTCTCCAGAACAAATGATTACCCAGTCCACAGTTTCCATGTGGTGTAAAATATAACTGTGAAGATCATATGAATGGAACACTGAACGCCCCTGCTGACACCGGGTGTAATGGTAACATACAGGCTGATTATACAGGGGATCTTCCTCAATCCTCACCAATGGTTAATGTAAGATTGAAACAGGTCTTTTACACATTTCAACCCGATTCAACAGTTCAGTCATTCGACGTGTATACGAAGTTCATGGGTATTATATCTCCCTACCCAAGGGACTAACAACAGCTTTCAATCATGGAAATGTGCATTATATCGAGATACGTACAAACACATTAGTTTGAAAAGAATGTTGTGTCAAATTTAGGTTGAAAACATATTACCGTCATTACCGTTTGAGTGGAATATCCCCGTAGCTCTACCTCTACCTATATACTGCATATTACAAGGAGAGAAATGGGCGCTTAAACACATCCAACCCAAGTCGGTTTATTTCACCCAAGAGTATATTGAACAGTGCGAGACTAGTGTGTCAACACACTCCGTGGTTGCTTGCGTCGGTGATTGGAACGTTTTAATGCACAGATGCCATCGTAGAAATAAAACTACAAAACTATGGTCGTATATACACAGTTGCAGCTAAATATTTGTGAAAGACACCGTGTAGGGTGCAGTAAGACGACTCTGTGCGTGATTTTACTGGCGCTTTTCGTTCTCTGCACATACATGGTAAACAGGTTAGACTACAACAATAGGGCTACGTCAGTTGACAGTAGAGGTATCTGACCTTGTTGTAGGTGACGAAGATCACCTCTCTGAGGTGGAAGTGCATGGGGCTCATGGTCTCGAACACCTGATCCAGCACCAGGTCCACCTCACGCTTCACCTGCTGACCCCCAGGTAACAGACGCACCAACTTCTGGACGATCTGGACACAAACACAGTTGCATCAGACTGGATGACCCGCACACCATTCACACGTCACGCTTCAATAATGTACACACGTCACACTTCTATTAAGTACATACGTCACACTGTTATACCATACACACGTGACGGTGCTTTACCATACACACGTCACGCTGCTATACCATACACACATCACAATGCTATAACATACATACGTCACGATCCTATAACATACACACGTCACGCTGCTATAACATACACACGTCACAGTGCTATACCATACACACGTCACACTGGTATACTATACACACGTCACACTGATATACCATACACACGTCACACTGCTTGAACAAGCATACACACGTCACGCTGCTATACCATACAGACGTCACGCTGCTATAACATACATACAGACGTCACACTGGTATACTATACACACGTCACACTGCTATACCATACACACGTCACACTGCTTGAACAAGCATACACACGTCACGCTGCTATACCATACAGACGTCCCGCTGCTATAACATACACACGTCACAGTGCTATACCATACACACGTCACACTGGTATACTATACACACGTCACACTGATATACCATATACACGTCACACTGCTTGAACAAGCATACACACGTCACGCTGCTATACCATACAGACGTCACGCTGCTATACCATACAGACGTCACGCTGCTATACCATACGAAGTCAAAACATTGATTACACAACAGTGTCGTTTCCTGTTGACTTGGTTTCGTCCTATTGCCCAACATAGTACAATAACCAGTACAATTTTGAGACCAATTCATTCAACTGGATACATAAATATTAATCAGTATTATTTGATACATCTAATCACTTGTATATTGCAACACTACGCTCCTTCTAATCCATACAGACACGTCGTACAGCGTGCTCTGTCGTACAGTGTGCTCTGACAGACGGAAATCTGGAAATCGTGGAAATCCCAAAACGAGGCTCTGCCGCTAGAAAAGTTTAGAGGTCTGGTACGGACTGGATATTATATCAATCACATTGTGCGTTACACTGAATAAGCACAAAAAAACATAACAGGTGTAACCAGTGAGCCAGATAAATTCTGAATTATTATACGACCTCATCAAACAGGGGCAGTCTGTGACGTCTTAGTTAAGGTCATGCTGCCTACACCTCGCCATAAAATATAGAAATACGATGTTATTAAAGTTTAAAATTAAAGTTTAACTGTAAATACCATTTTCTTATGAAATAAGGAATTGGAATTCAGTGTAACCATAGTTGTTTGTGGTGTCTCCTTTCACTTTTACACGAGAAAATTTGGATCGGCTTAAGAGTAGGTAATTGTCTGAATAGGTTAATGAGACTAATGTTTCGGTTTGCACGTCACACTGCTATAATGTACACACGTGAAACTGCTATAATGCACACACGTCACACTGCTATAATGTACACACGTCACAATGCTATACCATACACACGTCACAATGCTATAATGTACACACGTGAAACTCCTATGATGTACACACGTCACACTGCTATAATGTACACACGTGAAACTGCTATACCATTCACATGTCACAGTCCTATAACATACACACGTCACAGTCCTATAACATACACACGTCACACTGCTATACCATACACACGTCACAATGCTATAATGTACACACGTGAAACTCCTATAATGTACACACGTCACACTGCTATAATGTACACACGTGAAACTGCTATACCATTCACATGTCACAGTCCTATAACATACACACGTCACAGTCCCATAACATACACACGTCACACTGCTATACCATACACACGTCACAATGCTATAATGTACACACGTCACACTTGTGTTATGTACACACGTCACGGTTCTATGACATACACACGCCACAATGCTATAACATACACACGTCACACTTCTATAATATACTACGTCATACTTCAATAGCATACACACGTCACGCTGATATAACATACACACGTCACACTTCTATAATGTACTACGTCACACTTCAATAGCATACACTCGTCACGCTGCTATACCATTCACACGTCACACCGCTATACCATACACACGTCACACTTCTATAATGTACACACGTCACACTGCTATACCATACACACATCTATAATGTACACACGTCACACTTCTATAATGTACACACGTTACGCTGCTGTAACATCCACACGTCACACTGCCATACCATACACACGCCACACTTCTATTATGTACACTTTAGGCTGCTGTAACATCCACACGTCACACTTCTATAATGTAAACACGTCACACTTATATAATGTACACCCGTCACGCTGACATAACACACACACGTCACACTGCTATACCATACACACGCCATACTGTTATAACATACACACGTCACGGTTCTGACATGCACACGTCACGATGCTATACCATACACACGTCACACTGCTATTACATTAACACTGAAGTCTCCCTGTGTGTAGGTATATTATGGGAGGTGAACTAGTTATACAAGGAGGTGACGTACAATGAAGTCTCCCTGTGTGTAGGTATATATGGGAGGTGAACTAGTTATACAAGGAGATGACGTACAATGAAGTGTCCCTGTGTGTAGGTATATATGGTAGGTGAACTAGTTATACAAGGAGATGACGTACAATGAAGTCTCCCTGTGTGTAGGTATATATGGGAGGTGAACTAGTTATACAAGGGTGAACTAGTTATAAAGGAGGTGACGACGTACAATGAAGTCTCCTGTGTGTAGGTATATATGGGGAGGTGAACTAGTTATACAAGGAGATGACGTACAATGAAGTCTCCCTGTGTGTAGGTATATATGGGAGGTGAACTAGTTATACAAGGAGGTGACGTACAATGAAGTCTCCCTGTGTGTAGGTATATATGGGAGGTGAACTAGTTATACAAGGAGATGACGTACAATGAAGTCTCCCTGTGTGTAGGTATATATGGGAGGTGAACTAGTTATACAAGGAGTTGACGTACAATAAAGTGTCCCTGTGTGTAGGTATATATGGGAGGTGAACTAGTTATACAAGGAGGTGACGTACAATGAAGTCTCCCTGTGTGTAGGTATATATGGGAGGTGAACTAGTTATACAAGGAGGTGACGTACAATGAAGTCTCCCTGTGTGTAGGTATATATGGGAGGTGAACTAGTTATACAAGGAGGTGACGTACAATGAAGTCTCCCTGTGTGTAGGTATATATGGGAGGTGAACTAGTTATACAAGGAGATGACGTACAATGAAGTCTCCCTGTGTGTAGGCGGCGTTCGGGCATGACACACGCTCCTCTTCCCCTGGTTTGGCTCCATAGGGGATTCCCTGAGGAAGAAGGATGAAGGGATGAGTAAACTAATTGTGACTATAGATCTGTTTAACTGCATGTGGTGTACAGAAGTAGTAAACGCTTGGAAAACATATTTGCCAGTAACATTCGACTGCAGATACTTCTTGTCACTTTGTCACTATTTATACCAATTAAAACAAGCACTGATCAAGAAGACGTCGGCCTAAGACAAGCGTAAGGTTGTAGCAATGACATGGTAGTATTTGTGAGTGATATCGTGTAATATTGGTGTCATGCTGGTATTGCATAAATATCAATGGCTTCGAGCTATATCGGCCGTATCGTGTTATATCGGTGATGTCTTCTCGCATGGTTCTTGGTGGTATTACATCATGTGTCATCCCACATAACATGTTATATCCGTGAAAAAGATCCTACCCGCTTGTGGTAGAAGATGAGTCCCGCCACAGCCATGGCGAGGGAGGTCCTGCTCTTCCCTGTTCGGCAGGTGAACACCAGACCGACTGTGTCCTCGCTCCACGACTGCTGGGAAGTGTGATGGCTGCAGACCGCAGCCTGGATCTGGTCCAACTCCTGAACAATACAGAAGGTAGTATGACTCACACAATGTAGCAGTACAGTAGTATAGTCTCACACAATGTAGCAGTACAGTAGTATAGAGTCACGTCTCACACAATGTAGCAGTGCAGCAGTATAGGGTCACGTCTCACACAATGTAGTAGTATAGAGTCATGTCTCACACAATGTAGCAGTACAGTAGTATAGAGTCACGTCTCACACAATGTAGTAGTATAGAGTCACGTCTCACACAATGTAGCAGTATAGAGTCACGTCTCACACAATGTAGTAGTACAGGGTCACGTCTCACACAATGCAGCAGTATAGAGTCACGTCTCACACAATGTAGTAGTCTAGGGTCACGTCTCACACAATGTAGCAGTATAGGGTCACGTCTCACACAATGTAGCAGTATAGGGTCACGTCTCACACAATGTAGCAGTATAGGGTCACGTCTCACACAATGTAGCAGTATAGGGTCACGTCTCACACAATGTAGCAGTTTAGGGTCACGTCTCACACAATGTAGTAGTATAGAGTCACGTCTCACACAATGTAGCAGTATAGAGTCACGTCTCACACAATGTAGCAGTATAGAGTCACGTCTCACACAATGTAGCAGTATAGAGTCACGTCTCACACAATGTAGTAGTATAGAGTCACGTCTCACACAATGTAGTAGTATAGGGTCACGTCTCACACAATGTAGCAGTATAGGGTCACGTCTCACACAATGTAGTAGTATAGAGTCACGTATCACACAATGTAGCAGTATAGGGTCACGTCTCACACAATGTAACAGCAAAGCTGTAATGTGGTAGTATTGAATGTGATATGATTCCTGATTTTTGTCAGTGGCAGTAGATGGATCTCCCAGCGCTTTGGAAACCCTCCGAATATGCAAAATACAGCTTATTTACAGACGTTAATTCACTTCCGAGAACACTTGTTTGATTTGAGAAATTTCGCGAGGTAACAGTTTCTAAAAGGCAGGCTTTACCAAAATACAAAATACACGATTGCAATCCGAGGCCAACAACTATCTGATCTGTGAGTTATCGACCTGCCTGCCAACCACTCTGGAAGTGGTTGATTCCAACACTGTTTCCTTGACTCAAGTACGGGCCTCACACAGCTCAAATCTTGGACAGTCCTGCTTGCTATGACTTATTAAATATGACTTATTAAATATGGCCTGCTGTATATTTGTATTGCCACATATTTGACCCACTGCATAACCTTGTTTGGTCTTAACACCCCTCTACAGAAGTTGGGCACCAGAAGGACATTGTCACATCTCCTACAGTAGAAAGCGATGTGTATGTGTCCTGTCTCCAACAACAGAGGGAGGCCTACCTTCTCAGTAGGGGAGTGGTCGTATTGTATAGGTAGTCTGGTATAGCTCATATCAAGTGTTTGCAGCTTCTGCTGTTCCCACAGATCTTCCGGCGACATGACGCTGCCAAACTCCATGGCAACTGGCGGTCTGCTGGTCTCCGTGTATACCTGAGAATGTACCGTATTTATTCTAATGAAGACTGACTGAGATGTCTAACAACATAGAGATATCTCCCAATTTTAACCATACATGTATACATAACACGGTGTTGTAACATAGGCGGTCCCCTGTCAGCACCGAAACTGATAAAGGCCTGATTATACTGGGTATAGACCCGGCCTGTAATGCTGACCAGACACCATGTTAAGTTATACATGCCCCGCGTATAATTACCATCTTTAAACATATTTTCACTTCAATATTGTTGTATTGATTATTACAGCTCTGTGTTCACAGTGGTTATCCTCCGTGTAATATTTTATTGAAACCTGCCCCGAACAAGAACTTGGGTCTCCTTGGGAAACACAAAAGATATGATGTCACAGTCTAATGCAGAAATGAAATATATACCTGTAATAATTAATCAATCAATATAGATCTAATTAACTTTAGAAAATGATAAATATGTGACCATGAATTCTAGTATGCAATGCGGTAGTTACCAAAATACGTCAACATTCCTTGTGCACCACCGACCGCTGAGGCCAGTATCGGCTTCGTCATTCAAATACTGAGTGTGGCCCTTTAAGGACTAAATAACATAGTGTTGTTGTTGTTGTTGCTGTTGTTGATAATTTTGATGATGATCCTTTAAATAATTAATGTCTGTAGTTTTGTATAACTAGAACCGTAAGAAAGAATCTGATGAGTCATTAGCGTACACATACTACTGACCTCTAGTTCCTTATACGACTTCACTTCTTTCTTCAACGTTTCTTCTTTTTCCTGAAACAGTCGACACAAGATGATCAAAGGGCGATATTGGTCGAATAAAACCTGTCTGATAACAACCTTTGTCTGAGCCACCGAATAAACAACCATCAATAGCACGGACCGATTTACAGGGCTAAAAATACTCCAGGCATTATACTCCCGCTTCCACTGCTGCCTAACTTAGCGCCATAATAGGAGCGCGAAAAATCCCCGCGGCGACAATGTCGCCCTCTGCTTTTAGAGATCAGTTGATGCTGATTCAATCTTGACGGCGGCGCCGTGCTGTCAGTCCCTGTTACCGAGCTGTCCTAATCACACAACTAATAACTCGGCGAGATTGTCTCGAGGAGACGTATGCCTGTCGAATGTTTCGCGAAAACAGCAGCACCTGAATGAAGAAAGTTATCACGTGGAGCAGGCGCTTTTCTGTAGACCTTACATTGTCAATTTACTGAGCAGTCTCTAAACTGTTCGGACGTTGCACTAATAAAACACAGTTGTAGACTAAACTAATGATCATAACCGTTTTGTTTGAGAAAATGGGCTTTCACAGAATTAATCAATATAACGGACACAGGGAGGGGTGTGTGTTCGAACCCTGTCTGCTGTTTGCGGGACGACATATCAGCTGGGCTAACCCAGTGGCTGAAGGCAATTGAAGCCGGGTATTCTGCGTTAGGAGCGAACGCTTTAACCGCTGGGATAACGAACGGCCTAACTTTGTGAAACCGGGTATTCTGCTTTAGGGGAGAACGTTTTATCCGAGAGGCTAACCACCGGTCCGACTATGGGACCGGTGGTGTGTTTTTAGACTCCTCTGAATTATATAAATATTTCTGACAGTTATCGATGGCGACCAGAATGTGTAGGCCTACCTCTAATTCATTTGCAGTGGTCTCCACTACCAGGACAGGTTCCTCCAGGTTGCTGACGTCACGCACGTTGTACGTTGCGCCATCACACTCTACTGTGACGTCATTCCTGAGGCCTATGACCGCCACGTGCTTGTAGCCCTGGCGTTTGTCTAGTAGATGACTGACAACCCGGGACAAACCCTGAAACACCAGCAACATCAAACTTCAGTAGCACTCCCAGTGGTAGTCGGTATCCCTTTAAATAGCGGAAGGTAAACACTGGGTGAAAGTACTCTACACTGTGCTGTATTCATCACCTGTGTCTTCTTGTCTAGAGGACGGTGACATAGGAAGGTGTCACACCTGGTAGCACCTTGTCTACCCCGTCCCTCCTGCCTGCAGGAAGGTGTCACACCTGGTAGCACCTTGTCTACCCCGTCCCTCCTGCCTGCAGGAAGGTGTCACACCTGGTAGCACCTTGTCTACCCCGTCCCTCCTGCCTGCAGGAAGGTGTCACACCTGGTAGCACCTTGTCTACCCCGTCCCTCCTGCCTGCAGGAAGGTGTCACACCTGATAGCACCTTGTCTACCCCGTCCCTCCTGCCTGCAGGAAGGTGTCACACCTGGTAGCACCTTGTCTACCCCGTCCCTCCTGCCTGCAAGAAGGTGTCACACCTGGTAGTACCTTGTCTACCCCGTCCCTCCTTCCTGCAAGAAGGTGATACACTTGGTAGCACCTTGTCTACCCCGTCCCTCCCGCCTGCAAGAAGGTGTCACACTTGGTAGCACCTTGTCTACCCCGTCCCTCCTGCCTGCAAGAAGGTGTCACACCTGGTAGCACCTTGTCTACCCTGTCCCTCCTGCCTGCACCCCGTCCCTCCTGCCTGCAGGAAGGTGTCACACCTGGTAGCACCTTGTCTACCCCGTCCCTCCCGCCTGCAAGAAGGTGTCACACTTGGTAGCACCTTGTCTACCCCGTCCCTCCTGCCTGCAAGAAGGTGTCACACTTGGTAGCACCTTGTCTACCCCGTCCCTCCTGCCTGCAGGAAGGTGTCACACTTGGTAGCACCTTGTCTACCCCGTCCCTCCTGCCTGCAAGAAGGTGTCACACTTGGTAGCACCTTGTCTACCCCGTCCCTCCTGCCTGCAGGAAGGTGTCACACCTGGTAGCACCTTGTCTACCCCGTCCCTCCCGCCTGCAAGAAGGTGTCACACTTGGTAGCACCTTGTCTAACCCGTCCCTCCTGCCTGCAAGAAGGTGTCACACCTGGTAGCACCTTGTCTAACCCGTCCCTCCTGCCTGCAGGAAGGTGTCCCACTTTGTGTCCCACTGTGTACTCACGTCCCGTGAGACCTGCGCCATGCCGTAGATCGGGAGCCCCATCAACTTGCGGAAGTTGGCCACCCGGACATCACACTGGGACCCCAGCACATCCAAACCTATGTAGTCGTCCGCTACCTACAACACAAACATTGTGTTGGACTCAAGCTGCTCCCAGGGAAACACGTTAGTACTACGGAGTGATTCCATATAAGACAGGCATTCACTTAATTATGGTGGTTTGGTCTGTAAGAGTCTGAAATACCCTGTATTATAGATCGGAAGACAAAGGCCTAGAACATTACCCTTCATCCAGACAGTAGCTGTTCTGCGTGAGCGTCACTGTGCTTCTACTCGGTTGACAAGATGACAGTCTACTACTTACTAAAACTCTAGTTTGTGGGATGAGGAGCTGTTGTGGCGACCTCTCGCTGTTGTCAGCACGGCAAGTGATTCGGACGAGATTTGGGTGAGTTTGCATCCACTGAGAGAACGTAATGCTGAGACCCATGGGGACCTGGATGGGAGCGAACATATCAGACACTAATACCTATATTAGAAGTTACATGTTTAACACCATTTTAGGTTTCACAGCAAGGCTCTGTCACCGCGAGGGTGCAATGTCTTACGTCCATTTGCGCGTTCCCGCTTCCAGTGATAGCTTTATGTTAGTATAGGAAAACCTTTCACTTACTTACATGCCACCTAACATGTGTCAGAGCTGTATAGAGAGTCAGCCCTCTACCACAAGATGATCTCACTTGTACATAGTGACGGCCCTCTACCACAATATGGTCTCACCTGTACAGAGAGACAGCCTTCTACCATAACATGGTCTCACCTGTGTATAGAGACTGCCTTCTACCACAATATGATCTCACCTGTATAGATAGACAGCCTTCTACCACCAAATGATCTCACCTGTGCAGAGAGACAACCTTCTACCACAATATGGTCTCACCTGTGTAGAGAGACTGACTTCTACCACCAAATGATCTCACCTGTGCAGAGAGACAACCTTCTACCACAATATGGTCTCACCTCTGTAGAGAAACTTCCTTCTACCATAACATGGTCTCACCTGTGTATAGAGACTGCCTTCTACCACAAGATTATCTCACCTGTATAGATAGACAGCCTTCTACCACCAAATGATCTCACCTGTGTATAGAGACTGCCTTCTACCACAAGATGATCTCACCTGTGTATAGAGACTACCTTCTACCACAATATGGTCTCACCTGTGTAGAGAGACAGTCCCCTACCATGAGATGCTCTCACCTGTACAGGGAGACAGCCCTCCACAACGAGATGCTCTCACCTGTTCCTTGAGGTATGCGTTGAAACAGATGATGGTGATGTACCGCTCCAGGAGGGATGAACACTCGCTCCGATACTCTGTCCTCTGTGCCTGGTCCTGTTGACAGGTAAACATACCCATATAACTAAGAATGCTTTACAATATCACTATTTAAATACTCATTTAATCGGAGGTTTGTCAACAAAGAGCACAAAGTGTCTGGCGGTATGGTATGTTTCTCGTATGTTTCTCACTGTCCTATATTGTAGAGGTTTGGTGGAGGAAGCACCGTGAAACACATCTTCTTTATTTTACCCTGTTACAACTGTCTGTGAAGATACCTCGGGTACCTTCACTATTCCCGTGATCCCGTCTCACAGGCTTCATGAACGCCCTGTTGTGTTCAGTTAATATGTCACAAGAAAGGTTGTAATGCTACACTCTACCATATGCTGTATCGCGCATGCTGTGTTCTAGGTCCACTGTGCTACGTCCCACGTCTTCTCTCAGGGTAACACTATACGATGTCCCCTACGCTCCGACCTACGTGTAGCTATGCTATGCCTTACGTCCTGCTAGGCTTTCCCTTATGTGTTCTACCTACAGCTTCAATCTCCCTTACTTCCTATATACTGCACGCAGACTTCCTATATACTGCACGCAGACTCCCTATATACTGCACGCAGACTTACTCTGCTCGTCTCCAGCTGTTGCTTGGCCAGCAGGATCGCGCTCCTCAGGTTGGTGCCCGCGGAGCACTGGTCAATCACGGTGTCCACCTGCCACAGAAGAATATACATACCATACCCCGAGCGACAGAACAACATCAACAGCAATTTGTCTTGGGCAAACACGTTTTGCCAAAACATATGCACATAAAAAGTAGCGGATCATTAAAACATTAATACTAATGCTTATTATTCGAAAAGTCCCATGCAAGAATATTTATGTGTGCATAACTTAACACTTAAACACATGTCGTACCTTGCACGTGCCGCAAGCAATAGCACCACGCATCTCATCATTTCTACTTTCATAGTTCAGTACTCATTGTAATGTTCATTATTATTTCAATTTATTTCACAGTATCCTCCTGCTTTCTAGAGTATATAAGTTGTTAAGGGTTTGTCATGTAACTGTTTTTTTATACGGCTGAAATGTTGCTGAAGCGACATTAACTCGCCAACTCACCTGGTGTTTCAGCAGAGCTCCGTCGGGAAGAGCTCGCACCAGCTCCCGAACAGCCTGGAACTCGCCGCGGCCGTAGTGGGGGCACCTGTCGTTTATCTGGTAGACGGTTTTACTGAAAACACAATCAGGACGGATACATGTCGATATCGCAGCGACAGGTACGCACCACAACACAGTGACACTTACAGACAACTCATCCTCACTCACGCACAACACATTCACACTTACGCACGACACCACAGTGACACTTACAGACGACAACGCAACGGCAATTACGCACATCAACACAGCCACATCCACACTTACGAACGACAATACAGCCACACTTACGAACGAGGTGAGGTGAAATTGGGTTTAACGTCGTGCTTGAGAATATTTCGCTCATATGACGACGTGCATGCGTGTGTATGTGTATGTGCGGCTACTTGTACTAGACCAGACTGAAGCTCGTTTTATAGTGCTAGCCTACTGAGATACCACGCCGCAGTGAAGCATGAATACCCCACTCAGACACATTATACTGACTCCGAAATGCCAGTCCTTGTTGTACCCATTAATGCCGAGCTCCAGGTAGGGGCCAACAAGTACCATAGTTTAACGTCTTTTGGTATGACGCGGTCGGGGATCGAACCCGCGACCTTCCGCTGTCCGGGCGGACGCTCTAACCACTACACCACGAATGCGGTTTCTTACGAACGACAACACAGGTACACTATCGCACAGCAACACTAACGTACGATAACATCTACAGAATCGCCAACTTTCCAAAATTTGAAACGTAACTGCAAACGTAAGATGTTTATGAGATGGATATAGAAACACCACGCCTGGATTCACCTGTAGATGCTGAGATGTGAAGCTGTACACAGACTGAACGTTAACATGCAATGTCTCCAGGTTGTAGGTGTAGTTATTGCAGATCAGATGATAGCATGATGGTTACCTGGTCTGTGCGGGGGACGTGGACAGGTGCGTGTATAACAGTGACGTCAGTACCATCCCCAGAGTCGACCGTTCCTTGCCGTTGTCACACACGAACAATACCGCGGGGAGGTCGGGCGTTCGGTCGCACTACACACAAGGAACATGTCTTCAAGCGATGCATACAGAATTCATAAACTCCGTCCGGTTTGGTTTTCATATATTTTATTCCAAACCAATATGTGTCGACTAACACGTGGTAATGACATACATGTGATTACCACACTATTACAAGTACTTGGAACCAACATAATGACAGAATGTAGGGTGCCACGGAAAGATATACTTTGAAATGTCCAAATAACCATCACTTTCTGCCAGCAAAGGGCGTCAGTTGAGCGCACTTGTGTATTGTAGTGGTACGGTTAATGAGTCGTACACATGTGGCCGTGTCATTAATTGGCAAGACACGAACCAGGTGGACTGTGGACAGGCGTACACTACATTACACTACACTAACATCGTCAACACGCTTACAGTGTCGACAAAGGAAGCAAGTAAACAAGAGATGCCATCATTCAATTGGTTCTGATGCCTTTTTATTCAGCTGACATCAGACGATATCTCCACGATGTATAGTAACGATGCAAATTGTGGCAGTAAGCTGGTGGAGATATGCTGGCATTTCTAGCGTCATTAATCCGAGCGGGATCAGATGAGCGTGTTGGAGAAATGTGAACTGAAGACAATGATTCAAACACTCACAAGTCTGACATTTAGCTTCATCTCTGCCAGGAAGCTGTCGATCTCCTTTATAGAGGGCGCTCCGGACACGGGGAAACACAGGCGGCGAGCCCTGGAGAAGATAACACGTGTGGCAGTTGACGTCATTAGCGCATATTGCTACGATAACTGGGATGTGTAAATATATTGTTCTTAAACAGCCACAGAAATCGGCAGAAATTGGGGGCAGGGGAGAAGCTACTCGGGATCGGGACAGCGGGCGGTGTTCGCTCTGAGGCAGGTCTAATCTCTCATATCTTTGCCATTGTTCATAACTTCGAAGACAGTGGGAAAAGGACGGAGACTGTTTGAACAATATTTTGGCTCTACGCTCAGCAGAAACAAAATATAGGGATATTTTTCAGTGGCAATTGTATAATTGTACTATGCAGTCGGCTGAGTCCAACGTTTAAAGGTTCTTCTAAAGGCGTTGTAATTTGTTACTGTGGAAGCACCTAACCCAGCAGTAACCAGCAAGATCCAACCCTGCTAACAATTTCACGTTGTCGCAACGTCATGCTTTCGTTGTTTACAACGGTTTTCTGTGGACGTTGTCACAACGTTTTGGTGTGACGTTGTCCTACGTCATTTTCACGTCGCCATAAGCTAAAGTTATTCGATGCTAACGTATTTTACGTTGTCTTAACGTTCTCTTTAGCGTAGTTTACATGAGAACAAAGCAGAAATTCACTTCCATGTTTATACATCGATTTGCATTTTGTTTTGGTCGTGTGTTTTCTGAAGCTGTAGCTGAATAGTGAAGAAAGAATCTCAACGTGACACATTTTACAGAAAACTCTGTGACAAGTTATAAGAAACGTTTTTTAACGTTGTGAGGAGCCCAAAGCGTAACGTTTCCTCAACGTAAATTTGCAACGTTGTTATTACGTTGTGACATGGCATTATAAAATGACGTAAAACTTACGTTGTGACAATGTTGTCTCATGACGTTACCAATCTACAACCTTCCCACAACGTTGCGAAAACATTGTGTGTTAGCTGGGAAGGACAGGGTCATACAGTTTCAGTCATATGGTTAGTTTACCTAGAGACAGCAATCATAGGGAATCATAGAGAGGTGACATTGAGCATGTGTGTGGAGAGGTGACATGGACCTTATGTATAGAGAGGTGACATGGAGCCTGTGTGTAGATAGGTGACATTGAGCCTGTGTGTAGAGAGGTGACGTGGAGCCTGTGTGTAGAGAGGTGACAGGGAGCCTATGTATTGAGAGGTGATATGGACCTTATGTATAGAGAGGTGACATGGAGCCTGTGTGTAGAGAGGTGACATTGAGCCTGTGTGTAGAGAGGTGATGTGGAACCTGTGTGTAGAGAGGTGACATGGACCTTATGTACAGAGAGCTAGGTGACACTGAACCTGTGTGTAGAGAGGTGACATGGAGCCTGTGTACAGAGAGGTGACATTGAGCTTGTGTGTAGAGGTGACATGGAGCCTGTGTATAGAGAGGTGACATGGAGCCTGTGTACAGAGAGGTGACATGGAGCCTGTATGTAGAGGTGACATGGAGCCTGTGTGTAGAGAGGTGACATGGAGCCTGTGTATAGAGATGTGACATGGAGCCTGTGTGTAGAGAGGTGACATGGAGCCTGTGTGTAGAGAGGTGACATGGAGCCTGTGAGAGGTGACATGGAGCCTGTGTGTAGAGGTGACATGGAGCCTGTGTGTAGAGAGGTGACATGGAGCCTGTGTACAGAGAGGTGACATGGAGCCTGTGTGTAGAGGTGACATGGAGCCTGTGTGTAGAGAGGTGACATGGAGTCTGTATGTAGAGAGGTGACATGGAGCCTGTGTATAGAGAGGTGACATGGAGCCTGTGTATAGAGAGGTGACATGGAGCCTGTGTGTAGAGGTGAGGTGACATGGAGACATGGAGCCTGTGTGTAGAGAGGTGACATGGAGCCTGTGTGTAGAGAGGTGACATGGAGCCTGTGTGAGAGGTGACATGGAGCCTGTGTATAGAGATGACATGGAGCCTGTGTGTAGAGGGTGACATGGAGCCTGTGTGTAGAGAGGTGACATGGAGCCTGTGTGTGTAGAGGTGACATGGAGCCTGTGTGTGTAGAGGTGACATGGAGCCTGTGTGTAGAGGTGACATGGAGCCTGTGTGTAGAGGGTGACATGGAGCCTGTGTGTAGAGAGACATGTGACATGGAGCCTGTGTGTAGAGAGGTGACATGGAGTCTGTATGTAGAGAGGTGACATGGAGCCTGTGTGTAGAGAGGTGACATGGAGTCTGTATGTAGAGAGGTGACATGGAGCCTGTGTGTAGAGAGGTGACATGGAGTCTGTATTTAGAGAGGTGACATGGAGTCTGTATGTAAAGAGGTGACATGGAGTCAGTATGTAGAGAGGTGACATGGAGCCTGTGTGTAGAGAGGTGACATGGAGTCAGTATGTAGAGAGGTGACATGGAGCCTGTATGTAGAGAGGTGACATGGAGCCTGTGTGTAGAGAGGTGACATGGAGCCTGTATGTAGAGAGGTGACATGGAGCCTGTGTGTAGAGAGGTGACATAGAGTCTGTATGTAGAGAGGTGACATGGAGCCTGTGTGTAGAGAGGTGACATGGAGCCTGTGTGTAGAGAGGTGACATGGAGTCAGTATGTAGAGAGGTGACATGGAGCCTGTGTGTAGAGAGGTGGCATGGAGTCAGTATGTAGAGAGGTGACATGGAGTCAGTATGTAGAGAGGTGACATGGAGCCTGTGTGTAGAGAGGTGGCATGGAGTCAGTATGTAGAGAGGTGGCATGGAGTCAGTATGTAGAGAGGTGACATGGAGCCTGTGTGTAGAGAGGTGGCATGGAGTCAGTATGTAGAGAGGTGGCATGGAGTCAATATGTAGAGAGGTGACATGGAGCCTGTATGTAGAGAGGTGACATGGAGCCTGTGTGTAGAGAGGTGACATGGAGTCTGTATGTAGAGAGGTGACATGGAGCCTGTATGTAGAGAGGTGACATGGAGCCTGTGTGTAGAGAGGTGACATGGAGTCTGTATGTAGAGAGGTGACATGGAGCCGGCTCCTGACCTGTAGTCAGGGAAGGTAAAGCAGAGGCGCGTGTACACCTCCTCCGCCACTAGTAAGTCGTCCTCGCACTTGATGTCCACCACGTGGGGCTCCCCGTCTAGACATGTGACGCTGTTGTAGAAGTAGAACTTGTTGACGTCATCAAGAGTACTCAGATCCACAACCTGACAAACAGACCAGAGTTAGTGAGTGAGTTTGATTTAACACTTGGCATCTTGTTACCATAATGAGAATCAAAACTGTCAATGATTTAAAGATTCGCATACCCCAATCGACCCACTGTTTAGAACACACATGCCAACAGTTGTGAAATAGTTTAATGACGTGTCGCTACTTGCACAGACATCGCGCTCATCTCAGTGATGGCTTTAGGGCAAAGGATGCAAGGGTCAGTTTGTGAGATGTTCTAAGTGTTAATGGAGACATTTCAAAGATTAATCAGGAATCAATGACGTCGTATCAGGTATTGTCTGATAGCCCATTTAAGGTAAATAGCTGGTAGAATTACAGTGGTATAGAGAGACTGTTCAGACCACAGGCATCTTGACCTTTCAGCCATTGTTCAGTATTTCAGTTATATTGATATGTGCCGTTTTAATGTTGTCAGTTCAGTGTCGTTACCTAACGTTGTCAGCTTGGTCTTGTCAGTCTAAAGTTGTCAGTTCAGTGTTGTTTCTTAACGTTGTCAGTTTGGTTTTGTCAGCCTAATGTTGTCAGTTCAGTGTTGTTTCTTAACGTTGTCAGCTTGGCCTTGTCAGTCTAAAGTTGTCAGTTCAGTGTTGTTACTTAACGTTGTCAGCTTGGTCTTGTCAGTCTAAAGTTGTTAGTTCAGTGTTGTTTCTTAACGTTGTCAGCTTGGTTTTGTCAGCCTAATGTTGTCCACTTCGTAATGGCTGTCAGCTTAATGTATACAGCTTGGTGTTGCCAGCTGAATGCTGTAATTTCAGTGTATCCAGCTTAATGCTGACAACTTGATGCCATCTGCTTGATGTCAGCTCAAAGTTGTCAATTTTCTACTGTAAGCCTAATGTTGTCAGCTGAATGTCGTGACGTTAATGTAAGCGTTTCAGCTAGATGTCAGCTTACTGTTGGCAATTAAATGTTGCAGTGCTGTGAACGGTCACGAGTATACCATACTGTGGACAAGCGCGTTCCTACCTCCTTCCTGATGCGCGCTTCTCTCTCGCTCGCCTCGGGGTCTGATTGGCCGAGGTTGACGATGTCGTGGAGGTGATCAGCGTGTCTGATGGTGTATGTTGCGTTCACGGCGGTGGGGAATAGTACAGCCTCCTCCCGCGTGTTGAACAGAAGGAGTCTCTGCGAGGGAAGACATTGTTGATGCATCTTCAACCAGTGTAGGTTAATAATGTTAGATCATATAGCTCGTGTCCCCATCTGAGAGGATTACTGTAAATATATATGCATGTTCCTGCACAGTGTGGAAATCAGTTGACTCCACGGCAGTTCCTACAGACATTGGCCACAGTTCGCAGGACAATTAGTATATAATGAGAGTACACTGAGTGTCCTTCGGCCATTGTATCTGAAACACGGTAACAACATAACGGGAACATGAGGGATATCGAGGTGTATAATGCCACAGGTTTACACCGAAACTTGGTCCAATATCCAATATGTGATGTGGTTAACAAACTACCAATACGGTTTGTTGCCCAAGGTGATGTTTGTGATGGTTTGAGTTTTGGCCGCGTTTTGACCTCGGGGAACGCCTACTGACAAGATCAAGATGTTGGAAGGCGTTGTAAATCTACAACTACATTCAGTCTCAATCTTAATCCTATCTTACACCCTCCCGGACCCCCATACACACACACAGACATCCCTCCCTCTTTCCCTCATCCCCACCCACCTTCCTCACCACAATTGAATTTAATCGCCGTCGATGTGCGGTACACAAACTCTAAATTTAGCTGTAGCTCGGCTGAAGTAAGTCTTTACATACGCTGTGTAACCCTAACTCCCCTGAAGCATACACTTTACATACGCTGTTATTATCTGCAAAACAGCTTGATTGACCTGTTTCTACGGTGCTATATGTCTTTCCGATGCTCGATTAACCTGTTTCTACGCTGAAATGTGTCTTTCCGATGCTCGATTAACTTGTATCTACGCTGAAATGTGTCTTTCCGATGCTCGATTAACTTGTATCTACGCTGAAATGTGTCTTTTCGATACTCGATTAACCTGTATCTACGCTGAAATGTGTCTTCTTAACGCTTGATCATACTGTACAGAGCGCATTTGGACTAACTCACCTTGAAAGGCGGATAAAATGAAGCTTCCGGAATTGGAGATATTCTGCAAGATTTTGAGACTGTTACTTACTGATAAGAGAAGCAAGTACCTTGTGTTTGGAGATGAGGCGTTGAACAATGCTGAATACACCCTCCCGATCTGGCTGGGCACACCCGTACACGGGGTACGTATTGTCTGTCCGTATGAAGTCACCACATTTGTCCGGTGCCTGGTCACCAGACGCTGACTTGGTCGACTGAGAGGCGTGCAGGTATTTGTTGTCATTATCAACTGTCCTTCCTGTAATTCCATCTACAACCAGGAAGTACCTGCCCTGAAGAAACACAGGTGACATACTGGTGAATATATCACACACCAGAAACACAGGTGACACACTGATGAATATATCACACACCAGAAACACAGGTGACGCACCTCACACCAGAAACACCGATGAATATATCACACACCAGGAAAACAAGTGACACACTGATGAATATATCACACACCAGAAACACAGGTGACACACTGATGAATATATCACACACCAGAAACACACGTGACACACTGATGAATATATCACACACCAGAAACACAGGTGACATACTGGTGAATATATCACACACCAGGAAAACAAGTGACACACTGATGAATATATCATACACCAGAAACACAGGTGACACACTGATGAATATATCACAAACCAGGAAAACAAGACACACTGATGAATATATCACACACCAGAAACACAGGTGACACACTGATGAATATATCATACACCAGCAACACAGGTGACACACTGATGGATATATCACACACCAGAAACACAGGTGACACACTGATGAATATATCATACACCAGCAACACAGGTGACACACTGATGAATATATCACACACAAGAAACACAGGTGACACACTGATGAATATATCATACACCAGCAACACAGGTGACACACTGATGAATATATCATACACCAGCAGGTGACAACTATATAGCCGTACCTGTCATCACCAATGGTAGGACGCACAACTATACAGCCGTACCTGTCATCTCCAATGGTAGGACGCACAACTATATAGCCGTACCTGTCATCTCCAATGGTAGGACATACAGCTATATAGCCGTACCAGTCATCTCCAATGGTAGGACATACAGCTATATAGCCGTACCTGTCATCTCCATTGGTAGGACATACAGCTATATAGCCGTACCTGTCATCTCCAATGGTAGGACATACAGCTATATAGCCGTACCTGTCATCACCAATGGTAGGACATACAACTATATAGGCGTACCTGTCATCTCCAATGGTAGGACATACAACTATATAGCCGTACCTGTCATCTCCAATGGTAGGACATACAACTATATAGCCGTACCTGTCATCACCAATGGTAGGACGCACAACTATATAGCCGTACCTGTCATATCCAATGGTAGGACATACAGCTATATAGCCGTACCTGTCATCTCCAATGGTAGGACATACAGCTATATAGCCGTACCTGTCACCTCCAATGGTAGGACATACAACTATACAGCCGTACCTGTCATCTCCAATGGTAGGACATACCACTATATAGCCGTACCTGTCATCTCCATAGATTACCCAAAAAGGCTTATAACATGCTTGTTCATTTGGACAACATTGGTAAAGTGACGTTGGCATCTTATGTAAGAAATCTTCTGTTTTCACATGGTTATGGTTTTGTATGGTTAAGTCAGTCAGTTGGTGATGCAAGTTTGTTTTTAACTCAGTTTCGAGAAAGAAGTCTTAATATGTTTAATCAAGAATGGCATTCAGTAATACATAATAGTTCACGGTACGACTCTTATAGAATATACAAATCACTACTCCAGCCGGAGAAATAACTGTCGTTTTTAACATCAAAGAAATTAAGATATCCATTTATACGGTTTAGGTTAGGTTTGATCAACATAATGGTAAACGAAGGAAGACGTTTTTATATTGAACGATGCAAGAGAATGTGCCCATAGTGTAATATAGATGTGGAAAATGAAATCCATTTTTTGCTTGTATGTCCTTTGTATAAAGATTTGCGTACGAAATATATAGCTGAATATTATCTACGTAAGCCACCTACATTAGCATTTAAACTACTTCTTTCATCAACTGACCAGCATGTAATAATAAAGCTGTCGTACTATATCAATTATGCTCTTATTAAACGTAACAATCTGATAAAAAGTGTTGTATGTCCATCGTATTTCACTACTTGTACATAATTTACTGCCTGTATCATGATTTGCTGTTTGGATCACTAATTACTACTTATTGCGCCATATGTATAATGTATATGTATAACTCCAATGTATATGGGCCGGAGGCCTTTTGTACAATAAACATCTTTGACTTTAACATACAGCTATATAGCCGTACCTGTCATCTCCAATGGTAGGACATACAGCTATATAGTCGTACCTGTCATCTCCAATGGTAGGACATACAGCTATATAGTCGTACCTGTCATCTCCAATGGTAGGACATACAACTATATAGTCGTACCTGTCATCTCCAATGGTAGGACATACAGCTATATAGCCGTACCTGTCATCACCAATGGTAGGACATACAGCTATATAGCCGTACCTGTCATCTCCAATGGTAGGACATACAGCTATATAGCCGTACCTGTCATCTCCAATGGTAGGACATACAGCTATATAGCCGTAGCTGTCATCACCAATGGTAGGACATACAGCTATATAGGCGTACCTGCTGTCGTGATAGGCACGATTACACTGAGGTGACATTGCGTTACATCAAGGTGAGACAATTAAAGGTTAAAACACCTTCTCAATTAACTGGAACACTAATTAAACAATGAAAGGTGAGAAAACACAACGGTTATATCATTTTCAGAAATGGCACCTTTGACCGATGAGAGAACTGATAACTGAGATGTCATTACTGGGGAAAAAACACCCACGTGCCACAGATAACCAGGGTGACAGGCTACACGACATGGATGCCGGACTTGACAATAGGTGAAATGTTTAGTTTCAATTGCACTTGACAGACTTCGCTTGAAGCCCCTTTGATTTCTCTGCAGCGGCCATTATCCGCAGAATAAAATCAATACGCTGTGACAAACCCGTTTGACATATGATCCTGGCACTGGGTATATGTTTGATAACATATACATGTATGTGATAACGCACAAGTTTCAGTGTGTTTCATTTGTTATTGGTTCGCAGCATGTACTGGTAGTGTCTGTACATGACCTACAAGCACAGCCACGCCTGCAGGGGAACACTGGTCAGTTCTCATTTTATAGCACTTAAGTTCTAGACAAAATCATACCAGAAGCAATCTCGTCGATATTTTCGTAGGTGCATAATACGAATGCGAAATGTGAGAAGCTGTCATTTGGAAAAATCCATAAACTAGAGAAGACGTTGTTCTGATACAATACAGGGTCAATGGGCAATTCCCCCATCGCCCTTCAGCGTTAGGCGTCATTACAGCCTTGCTTGGTCTTCCTCCACAACACCATCACGTGTTGGATTTAAACAAACAGAGTAAAACGTGATAAAATTGTACCTGACAACGTCGATATTCTGGAACTACTGCTGCAGTAATTGAATCCTGGCGAGTAGTGACACCTGGGTTGGAAACCTGGGGGTAATGTGTCATGTGACATGACGTGATGTGTAGCGAACAAATTTTGCCAATACACACGCCTCCCCCCGAATTTCACATTCCGTTATTTCTACACATGTTGTTGTTTCATCGAGAAACAATTTTGATGGAACTTATCCTTAAACAGACACAACATGATGATGTTTTTCGTAACTGGCGTTCCGAAGGATTTTGACATTCACTAAATGAAAGGACCTCGTCTGTTGCCAGGTTCCCTGTCGAGGGTTTTTAGAATATTCCAGGGACTTTAAGGCTAAATGAAACAGTCATTATTGTTGTTTTCAGATTGCATTCCAGGGCTATGAACCATCTCTAAAGGAAATGGATACAATCGCTGTTACAGTGATATTCAGATGCCAGTGATGACTGTACACATGGTCGCTGACAGAATCCAATATGGCTTCTCTGATCTGAACAGCGCTGCTGGGGATGTGGGTAATATCTACAACGTTGTAGTCGTTGTTGGGTTAAGCGGCAATCTGCTGCTTCCGAGGCCATTCCGCTCTAATGCCGGCTGCAGCGTGGAGTACGGCGCTAATAACGTGACCCGAGATGTGTGAAAGGATGCATCGTGATAATACAAAACAAAGCCTTCATGGACAGATGTGGCTTCTGTCGTCCAGAGCGTGTCAGATATCTAGTGTTTCACTCGCTTATATCACGACATTTAGTAGACAGCTCTACATGACGTGCTTCTTCACAACTCTCAGTGAATCGGTGAGAATGCATGGAGAAAACAGCTCTGTCCCCATTAAAACATTCAAAGTAGAATCTATTTAAGCACGCATACCGCGTTTAGTTTAATTTGAGACCATATATAGTTCGTGCAGCGATGCTGATAATTTTAGACTGTCCTAAAAATACCATGGATATGTTCTTAATTTGTGTGTCACTGAACTGTTCCATATAGTGAGTGGCCTCTGTCAGGACTGTCCAGATATTAGCAGTCTGAACTGATGGACTGAATGACTCGAAGTGTCACCCCTCGCTCACAGGTTCAGATTGGACGTGTCCAAGGTTCACACAGTTATCAAGACGTATTTTTTAAGATCGGACCAGTCTAACCTCACTACTAAGAGTAACTACGGAAAACAGAGTACATTAGGATATACTCTCCAAAACGAAACACATAGGTGATATTGATATATGAAATTACAAATATTTTTCAAAGTGTTTGATTTTTATAATTTCGCCATTGTAAGGCTGGTTTGTGTACATGGAACGAATGCATAGCGACATCAGTCGTTAATGGGACTGATATCAACAAACCAATTCCACTCAAAATCGGCCTCGAAGTGGTAGACCTCGGATTACGGATGGTACATCCGGGTACTTCATTTGCGGAATCAAACTGTCACAGAAACTGCAACTGCAACTGCAGTGCCTGGTGTGGGGTGACTGTCGGCGCAAACCATTCGTAATCGTGTACGAGAAGCTGGACTTCGAGCCGGAAGACCCTATTTTGGCCATATGCTGCGACAACTATATCAACGTCGACAGGTCCAGTGGTGCAATAACGTTCGATTCATGAATCTACAAAACTGGCGACATGTATGGTTCATTGTCGTGACGGAAGCGTACGTGTCTATCGACGTCGAAATGAACGTTTTGCCTAGAATTGTGTCGCCCTGGTTGACCGATATAGTGGCGTCATGTCATGATTACGTAG